CTCTCTCTCAAATAAATAAATAAAATCTTAAAATAAATAAATAAATATCAATTGCTGTTTTAAAAATTACATATATTGTCTGTCCTTTGAAATAATGACTGGTTTAACTGGGCTAAGTTATTGCTAATGTATAGCTGAAAGGAATATGACATCAGATTGTTATACTTAGGTTAATATTATGCTTTAGTTTAGCATGCTAGTTTTTCATCTCTGCTTGTCTAAAATTTACTCTTAGAAGCCACTGAATAAGGCTTATTGGTCTTGTCTTAGTCAGCCAATCAGATGGGGTTTTAGGTGGAGAGGAAAAGGAGATAAAAACAAACTAGAATTATGACCCACAACACCAATGTGGACCACACACTCCAGTGGTCTACTTCTTTGGTCTTTTGAAGAGAAGAAAGAAAGGGGGAGCAAAGAGGGGAGAGGGAGGAAAAGAAGTAGGAAGTAAAGAACAGGAAGATGCTCTGGGGCTCTGGCATGTCTTCAGAAAGAGTAATTAAATCAAGGCTGCCAAAGAAAAAAGAGCCCCACCCCCACCCCAGGATCCTGGCAGTGGTTCCTGGCCCCATCCTTCCTTGAGCACATCAGGGCACCCAGACCCAGACCCAGACCCAGACCCAGAGTACCCATTTCAATCCAAATGCCAAGATGCTGGACTAACTTCACCTGTTTCCCTTTCTACACAGATTATGGAGCAAGAAAGCTGACACCAAGCCACATCAGAGTTCATCAGGGATGAGATATCTGTCAAGGATTTGTGGCAGAGTGGCTTACGGGAATAAAAATACAGAATCTCTTCTAGGGATAGTATAAGAACAAATGAAATAATTCCCAGAAGTGGCCTGAAGCTTTTCCAAAAAAAGGTGCTGTAACTATCTAAGGTATCTAAACTACCAGTAGGTATAAATTTGTGTTTGCGGAAGGTAAACTAAAATCTCTATTAGCTAACAAGGTCAGTTGTATCGGGAGAAGAAAAAAAAAAAAAAAAAAAGAAGGCAAAAGAATGATTACTTCCTTCCTTGCTAGTTTGTTCCTCCAAAGAGGCAAACACTTAGAAACATGGCAGAGATGACCTCCAGGAGTGGAATGATGCCAAAGGCCATTGATGTAAGAAAGATAAACTAACCCAGCTTTTTATTTCTTTTTCTTTTAAAAGAGACATTCATCCCATATGTTTAGTAAACTAACCAGGATTGTAATTACTTGCATTTTATTATATTTATTTGGTAACTGGATGCATAGCTCACCTATTTGCATTGGGGTAAAGGACATCCAAATATGTGGTTAGTATTTGGTTGTAAGCTGGCTTCTGAACTGGCCAAGTTTTTGAACTGACCAAGGAGTATTTACTTGTCTGGTGTCTCATCTGCAACTAACTAACTAGTCTAAAACTGTCTTAGTCAAGAAAAATATTTATTGAATATAACAAGCAGTGCAGAGGTTGTTTGGGTCCAAGAGCTGAGCGATCTGTCAAGAGCCCAAGGGTAAATCTGTCTCTGTGATCTGCAACTCTCAGTGTGTCAGCTTTGCCCTCAGAATGGCATCCCTTCTGGTTGTTAGCTGACTGAAGTAGTGCCATGTATCATACCTCAATGCAATAAGGTCCAGGGGACAGAGAATTTTGTCTCCTCCTTGGTCTCTTTATTAGGAGTGAAGAAACCTTTTATAGATACTCACTTAACAGGCTTCCCCTCACCTTTTGTTGGCCAGAACTGGACCACAAGCCTATTCCTGAATCAATGATTGGCAAGGGGCTTGGAGAAGGTGTCTGGGGTAGAATGGATGTTGGGGAGTTGAACACAAAATTGTCTTCAGTATGAAAACATACAGTAGAAAAACTGAAGAGCTAATAAAACCAACAATTTGTCTATTACAATGTTGGCTTAATTATTATTATTTAGCAGTTGTCTCTCTGAGCTTATAGCTGTCTGATAAGGACAAAGTCACTGGGAACATCAACTCCTAGAAACTAATTATTATTTCCAAGATAAAGATTGTTCTGATGACAGAAATGAGTTCGTGCTTTCCTACTCAGCTATTTTTTTCAGAGGTCTGCCATTGAGTCCAGGTAGACAAAGACAGAAATAGATTCTCTTATTAAAAAGTTAGCAAATCAATAAATAACATTTATGAGTGGACAATCATGAGTTTAGCTAACAGGAAGGGAACAATGGCAGAGAAAGTCTCATTTTCATTTGTATTTGGCCACGTCATAGTGATATCCTTGCTATACAGTTACTTTCTTGGTAGGTTTATTCAGACCAATAGTATTGCATAATGCCTTGACACCACAATGAGAGCAAGAGGTAATGATAGATAAGAAGCTAGCCTAGGCTTTTAATTTATCTTCAAATAACTCTAAAGTACTTAAAATATATATCAATGTGTATCCATTAGCTGTGGGTTTTATGTTTGTTATTAATCCATTCCTGTTTATCTTCTACATTAAAAACAAAGGTGATGACTATACTGGTCTGTTTCTTAGATTTCACCACTCCATTCTTAACATGGGGCTGTATACATAGTAACCTCCCAGTGAGGTAGTGGACTTATCCTAATTCCATTTCAGAACACATGAACTAAAAATCTCATTTCATAGGTTTGGAGCCCAGGCTATTTCCTGAGCTATATGGGTTCAAATCTTGTCTTCTTGATTTACTACTTTTGTAACTCGGACAAGTTATCCAACCTATCTCTGAGACATAGCAACAATGTAATAGAGTTTTATCTATTACTATTGTTTAATTCTCAAAGCCACCTAGTTAGGTAAGCACACCAACCACATGTTATTCCAAAAATCTTCTGAAATACGGAAAATAATGTTTAATTCTGCCTTGGAGAGTGTCCAGTGGTGGAGAGTGCGCCAAATGCTCTGTATATGCCTTTAATAAATTATTATTCTCTTTGTCACATATGCTACTTAAAAATATAGTAAATACCAGATAATCATTAACCCAAAATGAAAATCCCTTTAGAAAATATTAATAACTTTATTCAAAGGAAGGGTAGTCAGTCCATTTTGTCTTTTAGATTATGTCCTTCCTATAATAGTCTCTCATTGATACCAAGAAAACACAGGATCCTTTCCTCAGCAATGGACCCAATCTTTCCCCAAAAATTTGCTCTCTCATCATCAAGGACATAAAAATACATTGTGGAATTTTTTTCTGATCTCTCAAATTGTATGACACAGAGCAGTTTTCCATCCTTGAAGATGGCAAATTTACAGCCTCTGACATAATTTTGTCTCCATGGGAACAGACCAGAACTAATTGATTTTTGTCTGTAACATAATCATAAAGATCCCTACAAAGGGAGAGAGAAACTATTGATATTAACAGGTTATAGACCAATGCAATTTTCCAAACTGTCTGCTATTCTGGAAATTAGGCAAGATGAGAACTCACAGGCCAGATGACTAATGGGAAAAATAATACTTTTGTCCTTGCCATGTAATGCCCTGGCATATCCCAAATGTTTACCATGCCCTTTTTTTTCAGATTCTGATTCATTAATAAATATTAGCTTTGGATTTGTATTTGTTGGTTTCATATAGTTTTAGAAACTTATGTTAATATCAAAGCATACAGATATGTGTGCCTGGAAAACTGAATTGAACTTTATAAATCTATTTTTCTGTAGTTATTTATATAAAGCTTAGATCTTTAAAATCAAATCACACAATAGTAAGATTCAAGATAAAAATGTCAACTATAATAGGAAAAGTCAGTCAAGAATAGAATGTGTGGAAAATGTTTTGCCTCAGAGCAACAATTTGTGTTGTCAGTAGATGTTTCAGTGAAGGTTACTTAGCTTCTCTGTGCCTGTTCTTCATTTATTTTAAATGCAGGGAGTTGACTAATTGTCAAATCCAATATATGCCTTTTAATTAGCATCTTCAAAATTCCTCTTTTGGCATCTATCTAACTGTTCTGACTTCATTGTCTAATTTTCCGTTCCTTAAAAACTGGTAGTCACAGGAGTCCAGCCTTTTCATCTTTCCAGTTTTTTCCTAGACAGTGTAATGCATATTCTTATCTTCAGTTTCAACCAGTGACTCTTTAATCAACATTTTCCCAACCCAGACGGCTTTCCGATTCTCAGACCCATATTTTAATTACATACCCAGCTGTCTCACAGGCATCTCAAACTAAATAAATCCCAAGCAGAATTTATTATCATGCCCTACAAACCCTCTCCACTTCTCTGTTGGGTTAATGACAACTTGTGGCTTAAACCAATCTGGGATTGAGCTTTACCTCATATGTCTTCATCAAGCCACATATCAAGACATCATAAAATCTCACTGATTTTCTCTCTTCTAATTTTGCATTGAATACAGTCCTCTGGCTATGGTTTGTTTTCTCTCTAACTTATTGGTGGCCTACTCTCTTCCAGGCACTGTGTTCACCTTCTAGGATGATTTTTTCATGTAATGTCATATTAACTCTATGAAGTATGTGCTATCATTGCTATCATTATCCTTATTATGCACATAGGGAAACTGAAGATTATGAAGGATAAAAAAAATTGCCCAAGGTCACACTGCTAGGGAATAGCAGAGCCAGGGCTTGAACACAGTTCTCATTGCCATGTCTAGGTCCTTAAATAATACAGTTATAGTCACATTCCCTTGCCTTCTCCTTTAGACTCCTGCTGTCCGTCTGTTTCTTTCTAGGGCAGTTCTCAAAGGGTGGTTTGCGGACAACTGGGGGTTCCTGAGTCCCTTTCAAGGGGGCAGTGAGGTCTAAACTATTTTCCTAATACTAACACCAAGATGACCTTTGCCTTTTTCACTGATAGCGCAAAAGTCGTGGAGTGAAACAGCTCATGCCTTAGTAGGAAGCAAGGTAGCAGCGTCAAAGTGTAGGATGAATCCTTGTTTTCTTCACCACCACATACTTTTAGTAAGAAAAAAGTGCCAGTTTACACAAGAATGTCTTTGATGAAGCAGTAAATATTATTCATTTTATTAAATCTTGTCCTAAGGAACATGTGTTTTTAATATTCTGTATGATGAAATTGGAAAAATACATGAAGCATTTCTGCTGCATGTTGCCGTGCCATGGCTGTCTCAAGGAAAAGCACTTGTGTGACTGTGAGTCAGGAGGTGAATAAGCCACTTTTTCTTTTTTTCATGGAACACCATTTTCACTTGAAAGAAGAACTGACAAACTATGGTTATTCAGACTCAGATATTTAGCAGATATTTTCTAAAAAATGAACAAAGAAAAAGCCTGTCACTTCAGGAAAAGCAAATGACAGCATTCGTTGTCAACGTTAAAACTGGAGCTTTCAAGTGGAAATCGGAATTTTGGAAAACTTTTACCTGCCGCTGGGAACTACAGCCTCCCAATATATTATGACTTTCCTCATGAGATTAATGGTGATATTAACAAATGTGATTTTTGAATATTAATGTAATTTGTCAAATTTGGGGAAATCTGCAAAACACTGCGCCAATATTTTCCAAATGATCCATGCATGAAGGTACAAAATCCATCCAAAAGGCAAAATCAGTAAAAAGTTCCTGATACAGTTTCAGATTCCACATTGAAACTAATTCAGGAAATTATCATTTGCAGAGTTTTGGTGTGTATCAAAGAATATTCACAAGTGCCTGAAAAGACAAGTAAAATACTCCTTCCTTTTCCAGCTACAGATATATATATATAGGATTTTCTTCATGTACTTCAATCAAAACAACATATCTCAACAGATTGAACTTGGAAGCAGATAAGACACTCTGGCTGTATTCCATTATGCCAGACAGTAAAGAGATTTGCCCAAATTTAAAATAAATTCCTTCTTCTCAAGCCATTTTTTTAAATTTGTGATAATATAGTTATTTATATTAAAAATATATTTTATATGTAGACATACAAGGGCTTATTATTACTATGTTAATAAAAGTTATAAAATCTTCTAATTTTTAATATGGTAAATATGAATAGATAAGTTCCCCATAAACAAAAGCTCTTTGACATTGTCAGTAATTTTAAGAGTATAAAAGGATCCTGAAACCAAATCTTTGAAAATCATTGCTCTAGGATCAGCCCACCTGTCTACCCTTCATACTGCCACCATTTTTATAATCTTCAAATTGATCCTATCACTCCCCATCCATGGCTTCTTAAGTGTGCTGTACAAGACCTTTGGTGACTATATCCTGCCAGTGTTTCAGTCCTTGCTCTTACCACTCCCTTTTGAGCAGGTTGGTCTCTACCCATAATGAATTTCTTAGTTCTTCCCAGGCCCTCCCTGCTTTTCCCCATGCATATACTGTCTCCCAGTCTAACATGTCTCTACTGATGTGTCTTCCTACCAACTTTGTCCCAACTACTGTCACCATAAGGGTTGGTCAAATCCCAACTAGTCTAATAAAACTTCCTCAGGGAAACTTCTTTGAACTTCCCTCCCCATCCTTACCTGGGCAGAACAAACTGCTCCCATTTATGGAGCTCAGACAATAACCAGCTGTATTATAATTATTTGTGTCCACATCTCTCACACTGGACTCTCAGCTCCTTAAGAGCAGGGACCATGGGTGTTAATCCAAACACAGAGTTGATACATAGTAGTCCCTCAATAAATATTTCTTGAATAAATGATCCTAATCCTTCCAGGTTTAAAATTCTGTGGTCCATCTTATAATAGGGTTTTTTGAACTACAGTATTTTTATTGATTAACAGAGGGATGCATTTCTTCTACTCACACACATTCACACACACACTTTTGGTTTTTAATCAAAGAGATCATCTCCTTAGGTCTTTTTTTATCTTTTTTGTCCTTGCAAGGACAGTTCTGGAGAAAATTTGGCATATTAAATTTGATATATTTTAATAAATAATAATGCACATATATTCATTAATAATATATATCTCACACCAAAGCATCAGTAGGAATTAATTTTTAAAACTCTGCTCTAATAGGAATATAAAATTATGTAAGAGGTCTATATAATAGGCTCACAAAGAACAAGAAGGAAGAAGAAAAAAAAATTAAAATAGAACTGCCATGGAACTATGAGATGTTTCTAAACAGCAAATCTGCAGGAAAAGCCATGAGAAGCTCTCCTCGCTGTGATTTTTAATGTCTCAACCTATCCAAATATTGGGCAAACCTTAGTTCACCTTCGAGGAAAAGCCAAAAGTCTGGAGCTGGCCTATCTCCTCAGGATTTAGAGACAATAGTGTGGCAGTTTCAGAGACCTCTTTACTTCTTTTTGACCAAGACTCAAATTCTTTGTTCTAATCCTTGATAAGTGAACAGGAAGGTAAAAAATTATTTCTGTATAAATATGTTTTTATAATTTTGTGATACCTTGTTCCATGTCATCTCAGAGAAATCAAAGTAATCTATACAGATTGTTAAAAATATCTCCACTTTAGATATTTTTAACCTAATTTCATTTTAAAACTTAGGAATCAAGAAAGTCCAGTTAAATGAGTATAACTGGTTATTTCTTTAGGGCAAAGTGTTGCCACATATATGGTAAGGTATTTGAATGACACTGAGGTTGAGGAAAGTTAAATGTCATAAGTAAACTGTTAATGACAGGCTCAGTATGAACCCAGAACTCAGAATCTGATTGCTGCATGTTTTTCATTCCATTGTTAATAAAGAAACAAAAATTAGTTTAACTAAATGCTCAAATACAAAAGTAACCTTTCTTCTCCCGTGAGAAAGCAACCATGTTTCATAGAAATGTCTTAAGATAGCTTTGTCATACTGTTTCATTTTCATTTAGCACTTGGTAAGAACCTTATCCATTCAGTTCATGAAAGGTGATGAGAGTCAGGCAGATTACACGTCTCTGGGTATCTAAGGCTCGCAGTTAATATGCAAACTCCTCCTTATATTCAAAAGTATAAATGTGATTTTTCCATACAGCCTAGTGTTGGGCTATGTGGACATCAAAATGGACATAAAATGGCTAAAAACTTTAATTCTAGTTTGTGCCATTTGCCATGAATTTAGAAGGCACAAAATAAATAGTTGAATTAGAAGGTTTGAGAATATTCTATTTTTATAAAAAAATGAACCAACTTTTTATTTTGTGCCTTCTAAATTCACCGGATGGAGTACAAACAAAACAAAACAAAAAAACAAAAAATCCCCATCCCACCACAAATCAGAAGTCCTTTTTCAGAGCTAGTGCCAAAAATGGCACAGCTTTTTGACATCTGATATTTTATATTATAACTTACTTATACCTTCATAGAGTAGCAGAAAATATAACAATGTCATATTACAAATATTAATTCAATGAAAAGACACAGCTATTAAAAATACTTTAGTCATTGGAATAGACCAGGGAACTAGTGATTCAGATATAAACTCAAAAAACATATATAATGATCTACAATCATTTTTAGTCTATATCATTTTTCTTGTGTTGCTGTAAGATCTAGAGTTTCTCATTGTTTGTAAGCTTAGTATATCCATGCACTAAACAGCTAAGAATTAAAAAGCCATTTAGGGATAAACTACTATGGAGACCAGAATAAGTGTGGGGGCAGAGATAGGGTGGGTGGTTGGCATAGGGAAAATGTCACAGATGACTTTGATGATTATCCTGATGTCATGGTTGTAGATTGTTCTATAAGAGACTGATGTATTCACTGTATTTTGTTGTTATTGTTTCTATTTTCTATCCTAATTTTTTAAATGTGATTTCTGGCACAATGCAAAATAAAATAACCATTAACTTATGTTTCAAAATACAAGAAAATACAAGAAACCCGGTTTCTTATATTTTTGACAGTTCTGTCACATTTCTAGCAGAATTTTTTTTTACCTTTCCTGAAGAATTGAGCAGGTGTCTGACTTCTTTCCTTTCTAATCCCAGACAGTTGCTTGGCATGTGTGAATACGCCCCTGTACTTTGTACTTCCTAGCCCACTCCTGGAGTTCCATGGTCAGCTGTGGTTCCACCAAGTCAGGGCCTTACTTAAAGGAGAGTGGCTTGAATTTTGAGAATGCCTGAAACCACAACAGAGGAAATCGCTGAATAAAGATAATTAGATGATGATATTAGATGATGATAGTTGACACCAACACAGTGCTTACTAATTCCAAAACTATTCTAGACACTTAATGTAAATTAATTCATTTATTCCTTATGATAATCTGGGAGGTCAGTTCTCATAGCATCCCCATTTTATAAATGGAGACTGAAGCACTAAGGGGTTACATTTTGCAAAGTCATACAGCTCATAAATGACAGAGCCAGGGTTAAGAACAGAGAGAGTCTAGCTCCATAGTCCATGCTTCTAACCACTACACCAAATGGAAGACTCAGAAAGAATATGAAAAGTGTCTTGGAATAGTTGAATAACAGCAGACTGGAAAAGGAAATACATTCTGCATTGCCTCAGAAGATGCTTCAGAAGGATCCAGGGTAAAAAGCTGAAAGAAAATAGTTTTGGCGGGCACCTGGGTGGCTCAGTCGGTTAAGTGTCTGCCTTCGGCTCAGGTCATGATCTCAGGGTCCTGGGATCGAGCCCCACGTCAGGCTCCCTGCTCAGCGGGAGTCTGCTGCTCCCTCTCCACTGCCCCTCCCCCTGCTCCTGCTCTCTCTCTCTCAAATAAACAAATAAAATCTTTGGATAAAAAAAGAAAAGAAAAGAAAAAAATAGTTTTGACTTCTCTGTCACTGCTGATGGTCAGACTTTGTTTGGAGAACCAAGGGTCAATGATGATGATGCTGATAACCAGGACAGTGGTTAGATTAGGCAAAACTTCTTTTCCTATTCTGAGATTTTATGAGTCAGGCATATACCACTGTATTTCTTTATTTGGAGAGCTAGTAAGATGTAATAAAAGGAGTGGCAGGGGGAATGATGGGTCCTTAAGTAATTTCACTGACAAGTATTACTGACATTACTCTTTTTACCAAAGTATACTATAATATGTTTTGGCTCAGAGGTCTCAGACCAGACTTTGATAGACTTATAAAACTGACTTATTGAAAATCAGATTGGATAATGATGCTCCCAGGTTAAAATTTGTAGTGCAGCACTAAAATGTTTATATTTTTAATGTTACTAGATGAATCCCCAAAGGAACACTGTAAAATGTTTTTACTGCGCACTGAGAAAGAAAAGATGTCTATGCATTGAAGAAGAAACCAATTTTTTCACCAAAAATAAAGTAATATTCCTTTCTTAATATGCTAGCAAAGAAATCACCCGAAGAAACATTAAATGACATCTTGGTTGATTTTCTTAATCCCTCTCACTCACTTGCTTTCCTAACTCTCGTGCATTTTTTTTCTTGGTAGGCAATTCTTATGCAAGAAGCTACACGTAATTAAATGTGCAGGATGAAAAGATGGCACAGGCACTGCTGGTACCCCCGGGGCCTGACAGCTTCCGCCTTTTTACTAGAGAATCTCTTGCTGCTATCGAAAAACGTGCTGCAGAAGAGAAAGCCAAAAAGCCCAAGAGAGAACAAGACAATGATGACGAGAACAAACCAAAGCCAAATAGTGACTTGGAAGCTGGGAAGAACCTTCCATTTATTTACGGAGACATCCCTCCAGAGATGGTGTCGGAGCCCTTGGAGGACCTGGACCCGTACTATATCAATAAGAAAGTGAGTGTTGATTTTATACTTTCAAAAGTTAAGTTATATTTCCAAATTTAAGTCCTTAATTAAACACTAACATACTTTTCTCTGGCTCATATACATACTGTATCCTAAGTTTTCTATGGTTAAAGATTTTATACTTTTTATTTCCACTTTTAAACACAGTATAATAAACAGAAACATTTATAAGAAATGACGTCAAGATTTGGCTACAGTGAAGAGATACGAGAGATAAACAATTTCTTCAATTCCACAGTAACTGAGAGTCAAAACTAAAATTGACACCTACAAAGCAAAATATCTGTTATCACTGACATGTTTAAGCACATGGTAGACAACAGAAGAACATGCAAAAGAAGATCTATGGGCATATGTGCTTCTTATTTTTTAGTTCTTAACTGGCTTGAAGTTTCCTCACAATAGATTTGTATTCTAAAGGGTAATAATCTACTTAGCATCCTCCTATAAGAAGATAATACACTGACAAGCACAGTCACACCTACTATTGTTAAAACATCACTCTGTGAAAAAAATCTCAAGAACAAAAGACAAAAAAACCCTCTTTTCTCTATCTACATATGATTTGAATCAAGTTATGACTATGCCTTCCTAATGCTATAGTAACCACATAATTCTGTCAGAACTAACTAGTTTTTTGAAGTTAAACCAGCTGTGAGTTTTATAGTAAATATATATATTTTTTAATGGATGATAGATTCTGCATCATCTAATTGGGTATTTTGGCATTTTATAACCACAATTTATATTTCACATTCATAAGCATAAAAACAGGTCTATGCAGAAGCTAAAAATAAATAAATCTCACCATGAATTGATGGTATGTAGTTTAAAGAAGATATTGAATACCTTTATTAATCAGACCCAGTCCTTTTCAAAGAATGGTTAAGGAAATTGCATTCTCTAAGCAGTGCGCAATTTAATCTTACAAGATCTGTGAGGGGTAAAGAACCTGACAATTAACCATCCAGAGGTGGAACCAGCCCTACTGCCCTAAAGGAGGGCTTCTCAAACTTGCATGTGTATACACATCACTTACGGATCTTGTTAAGATACAGATTCAGATTCCAGACATCTGGGTGGGGCTAGAGATCCTGCATCTCTAACAAGTCCTCGAGCGAGACTCCTGCTGCTATAATACACGGGCCACACTTGGAATAGCAAGCTTTAAAATGCTTTCTAGAAGGCATAAAACCAATTTAAATAGTTAAACAGGCCCTTTCTTTTTCCTTTGAAACTAGTGTCATGAAGGTGGCACTTAATATAGATTCACATATTTTTAAAAATAATTTATTCCAGTACTCCACTATAGAAGTGATAAGGAAAAATAAGAAATTTAGTTACTGTATTATTACACATGATGATGACAGTGAGACATCCCCCAAGAAACTAGAATAAAATTCTCCTTAAAATTACTGATTCAAAGTACGTATTTGCAAAGATGTCTTTAAGAGACAGGTGTATGCTTACTGGGACATGCTTAGAAGTATTAGCTACTTAAAGAAAGGAAGTATCCTTAAGAAAGGAAATTGGTAAGATTAAGGGGTGGGGAGAATAACAGAGACAAACACCAGCATTTTCCAAGGGAAACAGATCTTTAGTAGTAGCCCTGAAAGCATTTTCCTCCGCAAATCAAGGCCATTTCATTGGAGAGGGGCTACACTGGGCTACCTAACAGAGATGTCATTAAACATTGTGCAGCATTTGATTAGGTCGGCTTCTTTGGACTCCACCCTCAGCAAAGAACCTTATTATAATTTGTCCCCCCACAGATCTGCTTGAAAGGAAAGAATATGCTGGTTTTGCCACTGCAATTATTTCAGTCCATGTGACAGTAATACATCTCGTTGTAAATAAGTAGATTGGCATTCTGATTTTGTATGTCAGGCTTTCAGGCTTGGTTAATGTGCTGCTAAGAAACAGACTTGTTCTTTGTGTGCTAGCAAAGTCATTTTTTATCACCTCCCTGTCTGAGAACCAGACTTGGACCTTGATTTATTCCTAGTGGCCATGGTCCATCTTGGGAGACATCTAGACTATTTACTTTTTACTGTTGGCACACTGCTTTTCTTTATGAAGTATCTATAAACATGAAGACTGATGTGCTACTGAAGAAAAAAGGTAGTTTGTGATTGTTAGGATTGAAGGAGCTAACCTAAGAAGCTCTTGGAAAAGTTCTGGAATTTAAAAACATGGTATGAAGTTTATGTTAATTATATGAATAATGCAGGTGAAAGGCGCTTCAAAACTGTAAAGCATTATGTAACAGTTTGCTGCCATTCATTATGATATACTTTACATACCTAATTTAATCAGATAATCAGATGAGCCACATCACAATGTATTTCAATGGTGTTTAAATTGACCAGGTAATAACTGAAGAATAACGACAGTGATAATCATAATAGCTAACGTTTGTTGTGCTCCTACTTTGTCAGGCACTGTTTCAGTGCTTTAAGTGGCATAATTCATTTAATATTCCAAGAACCAGTCAAGCAGGTACTATGTTAGCCTCGTTTTACACATGGGGATGTCAAACCCAGAGAGGTTAGGTAACTTGCCCAAGTCACACACCATAAGTGGTAAATTGAGGGATTGAACCCAGGCAGTCAGAGCTCTTATGCACTAAGCAAAACTATATCTGGCATTTATTAATAAAATAAAACATTAAAAAATTGGTTGTATACTTTTTTGAATTCTCTGCTTAATATGATCCTATTCTGAGATGTGAATCTTACCCTTGCCTTGAGTAGTAAAAATTTTAGTGAACCTATAAGATGTATATTTATCTGGGAAAAAGCAAGTAGCATTCCAGAGTGAACCACAACTAGTTTGCCATACTTTCAGCTATAACTTTCATCACCTTAGTATCAATATGTAGTAATTTTTTTAAGCCACATCATTATTTATCATTACTTGGAGACCAGATTTTGGAGTTGACACTATTTATCCCTCCTCCAATTATCTGTCACTCTCTCTGATAATTTTCAGTTTAGGTACATCTCTCAATAACCTCAGAGTCCCAAATTTCAAGTGTCTTCCTTCTTATTCTTTCACTGTACAGGATATTAGTATTTTATTCCTCATTTCTCAGAACTCAATGTTTTGTGTTCAGTGGTGTTCCCCAGAAATAAACTGAAATTGTGTTCTTAAGGCCTGCTGTATTCCAGAACCTGCAAATTCAATGAATATGCCCTTGGCATGTCATTTTTAATCTCATTAGTTCCAAGAAGGCTGATCTTTTGGGAGAGCAGAGGATTCCATGTTTAAAGGGACAGTTAATTCCTGTGACACTGTTTTTGGAGATTTTTCAAAATAAATTCCTCTCCTAATGTTACAAGTGGTAACTGCTTTTTCAGGGAAATTGCCTTACAAAAGCATGAGTAAATGCACTTTAAATTATTGTGAACTTTGGGCGCCTGGGTGGCTCAGTTGGTTAAGCAACTGCCTTCAGCTCAGGTCATGATCCTGGAGTCCTGGGATCGAGTCCCGCATCGGGCTCCCTGCTCAGCGGGGAGTCGGCTTCT